AATGGCCATGGTTTAAAAAAATGGTCATAAGAACAGATCTGGTCACGTAATTACTCTCTTAATGACCGCATCACTTAGCACTCAAATTTCCGATCTCCGTTGTGGTTATAAGTTCCTGTATTATAAATAAATAAATCTGCCTAGCTTAATTTGTCAGAGGGAAGATTTAAAACTCACCCAGTTCCTCAAAACTTTACAGATTGTCCTCAGCTTAAAAACTACCACGGGGCCCAAAATTTTTGTCTACTTATTGAGTCCTTCCCAAGGACCTGGGATAGGCAGATGTGGGTGTTTGATGGTATTACAGACCTCATCACAGGATGGAAGCAATTCCTAGTAAGGTCGCCTTTTGCAATTGATTAATGGCGAATTTGTTAATGCCAATGATGGTGTTCAAGTGGTGCTCCAGTTGTTTTGGGGTTGCACCCAAGGTGCCTATTACTATTGGTACTACCCTTGCTTGCCTTTGCCACAGTCATTCTATTTCTATTTGTAGGTCTTTGTATTTTGTTATCTTCTCTAGTTCTTTCTCGTCTCTTCTGCTGTCTCCAGGCCCTGCCACGTCCACTATCCAGACTTTTTTGTCTTTTTTATCGACAATTGTTAAGTCCGGGGTGTTATGTTGCAGGTGCTTGTCTGTTTGAATTCTGAAGTCCCAGAGCAGTTTAATTTTACCATTTTCTATGACTTTCTCTATTTTATGATCCCACCAGTTCTTGCTTACAGATTATTATTATTATTATTATTGTTACTGTTACTACTACTAATCCAATTATTATTATTATTATTATTATTATTATTATTATTATTATCTTAACAATTGCAACAATTCACTTAACAAATGTGGCATCAAAGGACATAACATGGGACCAAAACTCACTTAACAAATGTCTCACTTAGAGCAGCAGAAATTTTAACCTCAAGTTGTGATCCCAAGCTGAGAACAACCTGTATTCGTGTGTATGCAAACCAAGCTCCCATCTGGATGGCTGGCTTTCCTAGTGTGTATTTATATTTTGCTGTGTGACTTGATAGTTACTCTTGAACCATTTCATTGGCACAGATTGCCTGAGACCACAATGGTTTACCCTGCCGACGTGCTGCTGTTTGAAGGGATCTTAGTCTTCTACAATCAAAACATCCGGGACATGTTTCATCTTCGGCTTTTTGTCGACACCGATTCAGATGTCAGATTGTCTCGGAGAGGTGAGACGTTGGTTCAGAATAGAGCTGGAAGGGACCTGGAAGGTCTTCTAGTCAAACCCCTTGCTTGTGCAGGAGACCCTGTACCATTCCAGACAAATGGCTGCCCAGTCTCTTCTTAAAAGCCTTCAGTGATGGAGCATCCACAACTTCTGGAGGCAGGTCGTTCTATTGATTGATTGTTCTCACTGTTAGGAAATTCTTCGTTCTAGGTTGCTTCTCTCCTTTGCTTCTTGTCCTGCCTTCTGGTGCTTTGGAGAATAGGTTGATGCCCTCTTCTTTGTGGCAGATATTAGAAGAATGCTATCTGGTCAGTGTTCCAATATTTGAGGGGCTGCCCCAAAGAAGAGAGGTTCAAGGGATTCTCCTAAGCACCTGAAGGCAGGACAAGAAGCAATAGATGGAAAGTAATCAAGGAGAGAAGCAACCTGGAACTAAGGAGAAATTTCCTGATAATGAGAACAATCAGTGGAACAGCTTGCCTCCAGAAGTTGTGGGTGTTCCATCACTGGAGATTTTTAAGAAGATACTGGACTGTCATTTGTCTGGAATGGCACAAGATCTCCTGTTTGAGCAGGGGGTTGGGCTAGAAGACCTCCAAGGTACCTTCCAACTCTGCTATTCTGTTATTCCAATCCTCCATTCTGTCTTCTCTTCAGTGCTTAGAAAATCTTAGACAGTCATGTTTTTAACTGGTTTTCCTTCTTTTCTTCCTTCCACGGCAGTTCTCCGCGATATGAAGCGAGGAAGGGATTTGGAACAGATTCTGACCCAATATACGACGTTTGTCAAGCCTGCTTTTGAAGAGTTTTGTTTGCCAGTATGAAAACTCCCTTCTTCTTTATAAACCATTCCAGTTTTCCCAGATAAGTTGGTGGGGGGGACTCAGTTTCGCTTAGCAACGATTCACTTAAGAATCAAGTTGCCTGTCCCAACAGCGGATGCTAAGCAAGGATAATCTTTATACACAGGTAGTTCTAGAATTCAAACCCGTTCGATTTAACATCTCTTCAAACTAACTGACAGCCGGTCCTCGCTCTTACGACCATTGCAATACACCCACGGTCACAAGATCAAAATTTGGATGCTGGGAAGCAGCGTGCATTTATAGTCACATGATCGCCATTTTCCCATAAGCCGTGAGCCTGTAGGTGGCTATGTGATTTATTTTTTTTTTTTTTCCAAAATAAAAATAAAATAAAATAAATGTGACTTTTTTCAGCCCGGCTTCCCACGAGCAAAGTTTGGTGGGAGAAGTTGGGTTCGCTTAAGGACGACATGGCTCATTCACAACTGCAGTGGTTCACTTAACAATTTTGGCCCCCCAAAAAGAGGGGGGTTGATCTAATGGGGCGACTTGCCTAACAATGGGAATTGTGGTCTCAGTTTGTGATCTATTGGTAGAAGTTGAAGCTTATTGAGTGCCTGTTGGAAGAAATCTTAGCCTGTTTTCTTTCTTCTGGCTAAGATGGCTTCTGAACAGATGCTTGCTTAGGCTGGGTTGTTGTCATTGTGTGTCTTTTGAGAATGGTGACTTCTCTTCCCTTGCAGACCAAAAAATATGCGGATGTCATTATCCCTCGAGGCGTGGATAATATGGGTAAGAAACACGCCTGTTTGAAATTTATGGAGAAAGGGGAGGGGGATTATCCAATCCACGGGTCTTCAAACTTGGCCCTTTTATGAATTGTGGACTTCAACTCCCAGAATTCCTCAGCTGCTGGCTGAAGAATTCTGGGAGTTGACGTCTACCAGTCATAAAAGGGCCAAGTTTGAAGACCCCTGCTTGTGGACTTCAACTCCCAGAATTCTTCAGCCAGGCACGCTGCTGGCTGAGGAATTCTGAGAATTGAAGTCCATCAGTCATAAAAGGGCCAAGTTTGAAGACCCCTGGTCCAATCCAGCTGCATGAGATTCATGTTTGGCAGGCAAATTTGGCTCTGGGGAGACCCAGCATCCCATATAGAGCAACCATAAAGGATAGGCTATTATTAGTAAACACCGTTCTTTTTTCTCAGGACAGAGAAGGGAGAATGTCTGTTATCTTTTATTTATTTGATTTCCACCCACTTTTCCTTCAGGAGCTCCTTAGTATTTCTCCCCATCCCAACGACCCTTTGAGGTTGGCCCAGAGCTGGCTTTTCATGGCTCCTGACCGCTTTGTGGCCAATTTCACCCGCCAGACTATTTGGGTCTGAGATCCTCAGTTGAAAAGCCTCTTTTGCCAGGAGGGGGACCACGAAGGAAAGTGCCAGCCTAAATTCTAAAACTCCCCTCTCCTTCCTCTGCAGTGGCCATCAACCTGATCGTCCAGCACATCCAGGACATTCTCAGCGGGGACCTCTGCAAATGGAACCGGGGGGGCGCCATGAATGGACACAGCCGTTCGTCGAAGAGGCCCTTCCCGGAACAAGTGGACAGCCTCCCCCTCCTGGCGCCTGGAAAACGGTCGCACCTGGAATCCAGCAGCCGCCCCCACTGACCGGTCGGGAAGCTTGGAACTCTCCTCCTGTCCAGCTGGACTTTGCAAATGTTCTTGGGGGTGTGTGTTAGTTTTTCTTCTTCCAAGAGTCCCTGAGCAAGCCCTGGTTTGTCTTGAAATGCCAGAATAAACCATGTGGGTGGGTTTTCCCTCCCTCCTTCTTTTTCTTCTTCCCTAAATGCCTTGCTTTCTTCTTTTCTTTTTCTCTCCTTCCTTCCTTAATTCTTTGCTTTCCTTTCTTCCTCCTATCTGCTTCCTTCTCTTTTCTTTCTTCCTCCCTCCTTTAATTCATTCCTTTCTTCCCTCCCTTCCTCCTTTTTTCTTTTCTTTCCTCGTCCTTTTTTGTTTTTTCCTCCCTGTCTTTCCTTCCTTCTCTCCTTTCTTGCTTTCTTTCATCTATCTATCTATCTATCTATCTATCTATCTATCTATCTATCTTTTCCTTCCTTCTCTTTTTTCTTCCTTTCTTTTCCTTTCTTCCTTTCTTTTCTTTCTTTCTTTTCTTTCCTTTCTTTATATTAAGGGCTACAACATGTAGGACAACACAGGAAGCACTGTGTTCGAATCAGCTTTCAGCCTTTGTCCTGAAATCCTATTTTTTTTTCCTCATTGACTTCAGATGGATGTGTTTATTAATTTCTCCAGGTTCATGTCCTCTCTTTTACCCAGATCTTTTTAAAATTGGAGAATATGTCTTTGGAAAACTAATGTGATCTTTATTTTTTGTTCATCTTCATCTACCTAAGTGGGATTGTAAAAGTGTTTAGTCTACTATCGGGTTGCTGTATTTTTCAGCTTGTTACATTGATGACGATAACTGTTTCACTAATTAAGACAAAATCTTTAATGTACAAAATTCTTTGTTGTGATCCTGGAAGATAAATACACTTGATGCGCAATCATAAAGCTATACACTATAGGTAAACCTCACTTTACGACCGTTAATACTAGTTCCCAGGCTCCCAGGGCTGGTTATGTTGGCCTTTGACTGATTCTTCAATCAAAGTTCTGATTTCAACACTCAACCTGGAACCGTGCAGGGACCAGGGCATCCGGTCCCTACATAAAGCCTATTGCAAAGCCTGCATCCCTAGCTGGTTCTGGCTACAGCATTACGTCGTCCTGGCACGCTGCCAGGGAAAAAGGCTCTTTGCAAATTTTCTAGTTAGAAAAGAGTAAGGTCGACGTAAGGCTGCATTCTGATGACTTTGCCCCCAAACTGACCAACCTAGCCTGTCCTATCTTGGGAAAGCCTGACTTTTTTGCCCTCTTTGGGCTAAAGAAATATTAGGGCCAGACTTTTGGCCCACTTTGGGGGTTAGAAAAGAGTAAGGCTAACGTAAGGCTGCATTCAATGGGATTTTAAGGTTATTATTCTGCATCTTTATTATGAGAAGCCCCGTTAATTGTATTAATAGAACAACGGGAGGCCCAGGGCCTGCAAAACAGGCACAGGTGTAGGCAAAAAGGGCCTTTGCAATTGTTCTAGTTAAGAAAATTTGCATTCCGATGACTTTGATCCACACAGCCTGTCCTATCTTGGGAAACCCTGGCTTTTTCGCCCTCTTTGGGGTAACGTTTATTTCCTCGTGTGCCTGCTATCCCTGCCTTGACCACGGGAGGGCGATGTTTTCTGTCCCATACGATTGGCACCGAGGCCATCATCGGCCTTTTTAACTCGGTTTAAGGCTTTTGGAAACGGGTTTCCTGCTTCCGTGCCTGTTCTGCAGCCCCGTCGCTCTGGTATGATTAACCGGGGGTATGCATTTGCCCGTGGCAGGTAGTCCTGCAGCCCTGCTCAGCCAAGCGTAGCGGCGGAGGGAACGAGCCAGCACAGGCAAGGACTTACTGGTAAGAGAGCCGCCTAGAGCGGCAGAGTGAGGCAAAGACGCCAGGCTCACTTCCGGTTGACCCGGAAGAGAAACGAGGAGGCGGTGCGGAGACAGCAGCAGCCTTGGGAACACGGTCAGGCAAGCAAGGCAGCAAGCAAGGATGCATGCCGGCAACCTTTGAGCCGCTCTACAACTGCTGACATCCGTGCCCGCGGCAGCAAGCAACAGGCAAGAGGTAAGGCCCTGGGGAGGGAGGGAGAGTGGAAGGATTCTTACGTGCTTTTGGGACTCGGAAGTTCTGGGCTTTGTGCAAGGTGGGCTTTGCGTGCTTAAGGAGTGTTTGGCAGTTTCTGTTGGGCTGGTGGTGTTAGCTTCTGTCGCTCTGCTATTGTGAGCTGTTAGTTTTGCTGCAAGGGGTTTTGCAGTATTTTTCTCCCGAATGGCTTTTGCCTGGAGCATTCCTTTCCTTATGAATGGAGCCATTTGGGGAGGCTGCCTTAGCAGGCAGCAAGTACTTGTTTACGGGTTTTTTTTTCTTCCTTAAGTGCCAGCTGGTAGCCAGTCGGCCAATTCTTAAAGGGGAATGTGCCTTTTTAAGCTAGTTCCCTCAATGGCTTCTCTTTTCTGTCTCTGGAGGCTTTTCCTTGTTTGATGAATATATGGAAGAGGGAAAATATTGGGGGGGGGGTATTATTCTGCATCTTTATGAGCCTGTAGGTGGCTATGTGATTTTTTTCCCCAAAAAATAAAATAAAAAAATTGTGACTGTTTTCAGTCCGGCTTCCCACCAGCAAAGTTCAGTGGGAGAAGCCGGGTTGGCTTAAGGATGACATGAGTCATTCACAACTGCAGTGATTCGCTTAACAATTCTGGCAAAAAAGGGGTCATAAAATGGGAATTGTTTAATTTGTGATGTAACTCCAGGAAGTTGAAGCTTATTGAGTGCCTGTTGGAAGAAATCTAAGCCTGTTTCCTTTTTTCTGGCTAAGATCACTTCTGAACAGATACTTGCTTAGGCTGGGTTGTTGTCGTTGTGTGTTTTTTGAGAATTGTGACTTCTCTTCCCTTGCAGACCAAGAAATATGCGGATGTCATTATCCCTCAAGGTGTGGATAATATGGGTAAGAATTTTAAAATTTATAGAGAGAGGGGAGGGGGATTATCCAATCCAGGGGTCTTCAAACTTGCCCCTTTTATGACTTGTGGACTTCAACACCCAGAATTCTTCAGCCAGGCATGCTGGCTGAGGAATTCTGGGAGTTGAAGTCCACAAGTCATAAAATGGCCAAGTTTGAAGACCCCTGCTATAGACTTTAAGAGGAGTGGACTTCAACTCCCAGAATTCCTCAGCCAGGCACAAGTCCACAAGTTATCAAAGGGCCAAGTTTGAAGACCCCTGGTCTTTAACTCCCACAATTCCTCAGCCAAGGAATTCTGGGAGTTGAAGTCCACAAGTCATAAAAGGGCCAGGTTTGAAGACCCGTGCCATAGATAATGAAGGAAAGAGTATTCTTAACTTTTTTTAATTGTACGTTTTCTTTCACCAGTAATCAGTAAATTCCTGGATAGGCTTTGCCCTCTGGAACTGCTTTTTTTTTTTTTTTTTTTACAAATTATCTTTGAGACACTTTCCAGAGTCTCAACAAAATCCAAATCCTGCAGGTACTTTTAAACGCTGGGCAAAAATTGCTGGGCCACACATCCTTTTTTAAAACGTTGCATGTGGCTTTAAAATGTTACAGCAGCTGAATTCTTAAGAATGAGCTCAGCAGCCAAAGGTGGGGCAGGCTTCTCTTTGAAATGCAAAAAGTTTGGGGCGTTTTTTTAATATAGATTACTTTTTTTATAGTTTCTCTCTCTCTCCAAATGTATTCATCGGCTGTGCTGGCCAAGTGGGTTTTTGTTAATTTATTTCACAGTTGGCCCTTCATAAACCTCAGCTAGGCTTTTAAAATTCCAAAGGCGGCGGGGAAACTAGCATTTAGTAAGATAAGTGCAGAAATGGAGTTCAAAGGAGGCAGGTGGTGGGCCTCATTGCACGAGGAGGTTGAAATACAAGTGTGGGGGGGGGGGAAATCCTGTGCTCCTTTTTCCCTTCTGCTAGTGAGTCACTGATAGATAGATCCATTATACTTTCAACGGAGCCACGGACTTTAATTTGGTGGGTTAGAAACAGAATCTAACAGAACAAGAGATTCAGGCTAGAAATGAGGTGAGAACAGTCAACCCGTGGAACAGAAGTTGCCCTCAGAGGTTGTGGGAGCTTCATCACTGGAATCTTTCAAGAAGAGACTGGACTGCCACCTGTCAGTAATGGGGTAGGGTCTCCTGCTTGGGTGGGTGGGGGTTGGACTAGATGACCTACAAGGTCCCTTCCAACTCTGTTATTCTGTGCTTATCTGGGGGCCAGATAAGTGTTAACAGAATCAGAGAGTTGGAAGGGACCTTGGAGGTCTTCGAGCTGGTCCCCTTTGATGACTTATGGACTTCAACTCCCAGAATTCCTCAGCTAGGCACGCTGGCTGAGGAATTCTGGGAGTTGAAGTTCACAAGTCATCAAAGGACCAAGATTGAAGACCCCTGGTCTAAATCTTTTTTTTTTAAAAGCTGGCAACTTTAAGATGGCTGGACTTCAACTCCCAGAATTCTTCAGCCAGGCACACGGGCTGAGGAATTCTGGGAGTTGAAGTCCACAAGTCATCAAAGGGCCAAGTTGGAAGACCCCCGTCCTATAACATGTCAGATAAATGGTTATCCATGTCTCCTTAAAAACTTCTGGAAGCAGGTTGTTTCATTGATTAATTGTTCTCACTGTCAGAAAAATTCTCCTTAGTTCTAGTTTGCTTCTCTCCTTGGTGAGTTTCCATCCGTTGCTTCTTGTCCTGCCTTCTTGTTCTGCTTTGGAGAACAGCTTGACTCCCTCTTCTTTGGGGCAGCCCCTGAGATATTAGAAGACTGCTATTTGGTCACCCCTAGTCCTTATCTTTATTGGACTAGACATACTGGAACAAATCTAGTGTGTTTCAGGTAAAAATTAAAGCTGGCTTGCCTGCCTTTTCAAATCTCTAATTTGTCTCTTCTCTTTATTACAGGAGAATCTACACAAAGGCTATAGACGATGAGGGGAAGGCTTCCTGTTAACAGTTTCCTGGGTTTGAATTGCAAATGGGAAAACAGCGATCGCAACTGAAAGATTACACCACTTGGACTGATGCCAGGATGACAAGAAGGCCATCTTACCTTCCTGGTCTTCACCGTTGACACGCAACAATCTCCATCGTCATAGTTGCAAAAGGCTCGGTTGTTGACCGGATCACAATAATTGTCTCCCCCAAAAGGCTGGAAAAGAAAAGAAAAAAACAAAAAGATGAGGACAATGTCTACTTGCTTGTTAAGTGAACATTGGGAATCGGCTACAATTGCCGGCCGTGAAGACTCTGGAGAATGAGAAGGAAGAGAAACGAATCTTATTAGTGGACAATCCAGAACTGTTCCAGTTAAGCTGCCTAGAGCAGGGGTCTTCAAACTCGGCTCTTGCATGACTTGTGTACTTGTACGTGAGCTTGGCTGAGGAATTCTGGGAGTTAAAGTCCACAGTCATAAAAGGGACAAGTTTGAAGACCCCTGGTATAGTTTCCTGCCTAGAACAGGGGTCTTCAAACTTGGCCCTTTCATAATTGTGGATTTCAACTCCCAGAATTCCTCCCTCCTTTAATTCATTCCTTTCTTCCCTCCCTTCCTCTTTTTTCTTCTTTTCTTTCCTCCCTTATCCTTTTTTGTTTTTTCCTCCCTCAGTCTCTTTCCTTCCTTCCTTCTCTCTCATTCTATCTATCTTTCTTTTCCTTCCTTCCTTCCATCTTTCTTTTCCTTCCCTTCCTTCCATCTCTTTTTTCTTCCTTTCTTTCTTTTCCTTTCTCTTTTTCTTTCTTTCTTCCTTCCTTCCTTTTTTCTTTTCCTTTCTGTCTTTTCGTTCCTTCCTTTCATCTATCTATTTCTTTTTCTGATTTCTTTTCTCTTTCTTTCTTTTTCCTTCCTTCATTCACTTTTTTCTTTCTTTCCTTTTTCTTCCTTCCATTTCTATCTATCTATCTATCTATCTATCTATCTATCTATCTATCTTTTTATCTCTTTTCCTTCCTTCCTTCTTTCTTTTTTCTTCCTTTCTTTTCCCTTTCTTTTCCTTTCTTTCCTTCTCTTTCTTCCTTTTTTTCCTTCCTTCCATCTATGTTTTTCTTTTTCTTTCTTCGTTCACTTTCTTTTTTCATTCCTTTTTCTTTTCCTTCCTTCCATTTCTATCTATCTATCTCTGTCTTTTTATCTCTTTTCCTTCCTTCCTTTCTTTTCCTTTCTTTCCTTCTTCCTTTCTTTTTTCATTCCTTCCTTCCATCTGTTTTTCTTTTTCTTTCTTCCTTCACTTTCTTTTTTCTTTCCTTTCTTTTTCTTTCTTTTCCTTCCTTCCATTTCTTTCTATCTTTATATCTGTCTTTTTATCTTTCTTTTCCTTCTTTCCTTCTCTTACTTTTTTCTTCCTTTCTTTTTTCATTCCTTCCTTCCTTCCATCTATCTTTTTCTTCCTTCACTTTTTTCTTTCTTTTTCTTTCTTTTCCTTCCTTCCTTCCATCTCTTTTCTTCCTTCCTTTCTTTTTCCCTTTCTTTTCCTTTCTTCTTTTTTTTCCTTTTTTCCTTTCTTTTCCTTTCTTTTTTTCGTTCGTTCCTTCCCTCCATCTATCTTCTTCTTTCTTCCTTCACTTTCTTTTTTCTTTCCTTTTTCTTTCTCTTTCTTTTCCTTCCTTCCATTTCTATCTATCTATCTGTCTATCTTGCTTTTCCTTCCTTCCATCTCTTTCATTTTTCTTTCTTTCCTACTTCCCTTTCTTCTTTTTCTTGATTTTGTTCCTTTTAGTCTTCCTTCCTTCCTTCCTTCCTTTCTTTCTTTCTTTTTCTTTCTTTCTTTCCTACCTTCCTTCCTTCCTTCAGTCTTTCATTTTTCTTTCCTTCCTTTTCTTCCCTTCTTGCTTTTTTCCTCTGGTTCCTTCCTTTCTTTTTCCTTTTTTTCCTTCTTCCCTTCTTTCTTTCTTTCCTTCATTCCTTACATCCTTCCTTCTCTTTTCTTTTTCTTTCTTTCCTTCCTTCTTTTTCCGTTTTTTTTTCTTTCCTTTCTTCCTTCCCTCCTTCCCTTCCCCTGGCTGTTGTGAACATATCTTTGGAAAACTTGTAAATGTGTTTAATGCCATTTCCTTGATTTATTGTTTGACTTAAAAATTGTTTGTTTGACTTTGTTGACTTCCATCTTTCATTTTTCTTTCCTTCCTGTCTTCTCTTTCTCCTTTCTTTCTTTTCTTCCTTTTATCCTTCCTTCCTTATATCTTTTCTTTTTCTTTCTTTCCTTCCTTCCATCTCTTTCATTTTTCTTTCTTTCCTGCTTTTTTCTCTGCTTTCTTTCTTTCTTTCTTTCTTTCTTTCTTTCTTTCCTCTTTCTTTTTTCTCTTTTTCTTTCTTTCTTTCTGTCCTTTCTTCCTTCCATCTCTTTCATTTTTCTTTTTCTTTCCTTCTTTCTTTTCTTTCCTTCTTTTCTTTTTTCATTCCTTCCTTCCATCTGTTTTTCTTTTTCTTTCTTCCTTCACTTTCTTTTTTCTTTCCTTTTTCTTTTTCTTTCTTTTCCTTCCTTCCATTTCTATCTATCTATCTGTCTATCTTGCTTTTCCTTCCTTCCATCTCTTTCATTTTTCTTTCTTTCCTACTTCCCTTTCTTCTTTTTCTTGATTTTGTTCCTTTTAGTCTTCCTTCCTTCCTTCCTTCCTTTCTTTCTTTCTTTCTCTTTCTTTTTTTCCTACCTTCCTTCCTTCAGTCTTTCAGTTTTCTTTCCTTCCTTTTCTTCCCTTCTTGCTTTTTTTCTCTGGTTCCTTCCTTTCTTTTTCCTTTTTCCTTTGCTTCCTTCTTCCCTTTCTTCTTTCTTTCTTTCCTTCGTTCCTTACATCCTTCCTTTTCTTTTTCTTCCTTTCTTTCTTTCCTTCCTTCTTTTTCCTTTTTTCTTTTTCTTTCTTTCCTTTCTTCCTTCCCTCCTTCCCTTCCCCTGGCTGTCGTGAACATATCTTTGGAAAACTTGTAAATGTGTTTAATGCCATTTCCTTGATTTATTGTTTGACTTATTGTTTGTTTGACTTTGTTGACTTCCATCTTTCATTTTTCTTTCCTTCCTGTCTTCTCTTTCTCCTTTCTTTCTTTTCTTCCTTTTATCCTTCCTTCCTTATGTCTTTTCTTTTTCTTTCTTTCCTTCCTTCCATCTCTTTCATTTTTCTTTCTTTCCCGCTTTTTTCTCTGCTTTCTTTCTTTCTTTCTTTCTTTCTTTCTTTCTTTCTTTCTTTCTCTTTCCTTCTTCTCTTTCTTCTTTCTCTTTTTCTTTCTTTCTTTCTGTCCTTTCTACCTTCCATCTCTTTCATTTTTCTTTTTCTTTCCTTCTTTCTTTTCTTTCCTTCTTTTCTTTTTTCATTCCTTCCATCTGTTTTTCTTTTTCTTTCTTCCTTCACTTTCTTTTTTCTTTCCTTTTTCTTTCTTTTCCTTCCTTCCATTTCTTTCTATCTTTATATCTGTCTTTTTATCTTTCTTTTCCTTCTTTCCTTCTCTT